TTATTATTTTACTACTGGCTTTGAACCTAAATAACTGCTGAGTTTGAATATCGGTTCTTAGGAAGCTTTTCAAGCTTAGGCTTTTAATAGAAGTACAGTAGAATCCGGTTATAACGACACTCAAGGGACCATCGTTATACGCGGCAGGCGCTATAACCGTATAAGTTTGCTCATAAGAGTTAGTCTGGGGACCAGAATTTTCGTCGCAATAACCGTACAGACGTTATAAGCGATGTCTTTATAACTGGATTCTACTGTATATTGAAAACACCTTAGAATTTAAAATTTAAATTTTGCTTAAGATTTTCCAGTAGGTTTCATTTGTTTTTATTATTTGCTTTGTTTTATTTGCTTTTCTTTTAAGGACCTGCGCAATGCCTACGCTTGTRCTCTTTAAGTTTTGCGTGGGCGTATGACGTTACGTCTATGGAATTTTCCATATCAAAGCGAAAAGTACGAGCAATCATGCAAGTTGAATACATTAAGAAAAATAAGCTCAAAATTCTACTCAATTGAGATTCATGAAACGTTTTTGAAGCTACGATATTACTTTTTCGATTTCAATTTCGATGTCGATAACTATTCGATAACTGGTTTGACTATCGCCATTCGATAAAATCTTTGCTGATGCTGTGCGCAAACAATTCAAATTCGAACAGTCAATTCTTGTAGTTCCAACTAAACTATTTGGGAACTATCTATATACATGCAGGAGGGAGTTGATAATCAAATACATGTTAGTATTTAAATATTATATAAAATATGCATAACTCAATCAAAACATCAGTGTATCAAAACTTAGAATCTGGCCATGGAAATGGACTGTTTAAAATGCAAAAATGAGCTGTGCGTGGGCGGACTGGCTGGCTGGCTGGGTGTCATGGACAGTTCCTGCTGGGTCCTTCGGCGAATTCCTACATTCCCACGCAGACGTGCTGAGAGCCGTGCGCTCTCCCAGCTGAAAACGAAATGAAGAAAAAGCAACAACAATAACAACAACAGCAGCAGCAACAGCAACAGCAACAGAATAAATAAGAGCAAGCACAGAGAGTGAGAGTTTTTGCTGATGTTTCGGTATTTCGCTCCGTCGTGGCTCGTTAGAGTTTTAACCATGTGCTAGGTCGCTCGTTCTCTGGCCGTAATCAGGCATCCATTATGAGACAATGTGCATAGTCCGGGCAGCAGCAGCAGCGAGCCGATGTGCCCACAACAGTCGCACAATCAAGTCCAGCAGCCACAGTCACACACATTGCAAGTCCCCGACAAGTCTCACTTCACGCATCAAAAACGTGCCCTGGTTTAGCTTGTTCCGGTTTTGGCAACGCGTCTTTGGCCAATGGTAATGCCTTATGATACGCATAAGAAACCAAAAATTTCAAGTGCCTACCACATATATATATATAG